ATATATATATATATATATATATAATAATGGTAATATACAGACGATAAGCAGAGTTGTTGAGACAGAAAGTTGCTTGCAGTTTTTTATGCATATCACAAGCCAAATTATATTAGTGAGTTCAGAAGTTTAAATTCGTTCTCGGAGGTAAACGCATACAGAAGAAAGCTGTGGCTCACCAGTAGTCGTATGTATCATCCCAGTTGTCAAAATGAACCAGGAAGCGATTGTCCACCACGTCAGTGACGGTTGCTACACAGATGAGGGAGGGATTCATGCGGTCCACTGCCTCCAGCTTCATTCCTATCTCAAAGCCACACTTTACATCGAGCTACATAAAAAAAAAAATGTTTTACTGATTATGTTTAATAGACACACTTGAATACTAAATTAAAAGCAAATAAAGCAATGTAACACTGTTGGAAATTATTTACGTTGACTTTATTTGTCATTAATTCACTAAACACACAAAAAACCTGTAGACTGATGAATATTATAATATTTCCTGCCTTCCTTGTATTCAAATATACAGTTACATGAGCAGAAAAAGCAAACTAAGTGTTTAACAATAGAGCCCAATGGTATGTTTATTAAATAATTATTTTCCTTCAACAGTTTTTCTATGAAGCTGGAGTTTACTCAGCCCCAGATCTATGATGTCATCAGTTTGTATAACGAGCTCTAGTGTATACTGTAGTGTCACTGACCCTTCCAGGACTGGCAAAAAGTTCTTTGGGAGCAACTTGAGCTTTAGTCATCCTCAGATAGTTGATCCAAGTAAATTCCTCCTCCTTACAGCCTGCAAGCAAAACAGAAAGGTTAGAGTTAGACAAACAGCAAGAGAGAGCAAACTGGTGGCCAACTTTTTATTAGGAGTTAAGCTCAATAAGATAATTAACTTTTATATAGTTCATTTGTAATAATTTTAATTTGCAAGTTATACCTCAAAATCAACTAATTTAAAAATGTTCTCTATTTTAAATATAGTTAAACTAAAACTGTGTGAAGTATGCATCAATATTTATTAAATAAAACTTTATCAAAAACATTTAACATTTCTAATTTTAACTGTTATTCTACAAATAGTTGTTTATATATATATATATATATATATAAAACACACAACCTTAAAATATTAATTTTAACTTAATTTGCTTG